GACGCTCTTCCGATCCCCCAAAACCCCAAAACCCCATAAAGCCTAAATTAGTTTGTTTTAAGAGCATCAGATTAATTTTATTAAATATTTAATAAGGCATAAAGTTTATATTTAAATTCTAATCACATTATTTATAAAGGAATAATTACTACAATGCCTCAAAATATTAGTTTAAATATCACTGACGCTACTGAAAGACATAAATTCCTACTAAAAAGAAATAAAGAAATTTTGATTCTCAGTGTGATTGTCTTCGTATTCAGAGTAATAATGGTCATTGCAATTATTTTAGCAGGAGTAGCAAAATAAAGACCACTTAATACCAATGTCTACTTGGTATATGGTGGCACTCTAGGATGGCAGCTTTTAGTTATATTGCTTACATACAGATTTCCTACTATTTTTACAATTGTACATGCTCCTTTGATTTCTATTGGCTATTGGTTTAATTGCTTAATTTAGTTTCTTTCACCTGTTAGTTATGTAGCAGTAATGTAAACTACTCTAGGATTAGAGTTTTTCTTGATCTGTGGTTTGGTATTAAACTTTTGCTGGTATATTACTTCTATAGTATTGATATTGAATTTGGCACTTGGCATCGTCATGCTCTTTGCTAAATTTTAGATTGAAGATGTAGGAGTAGTTGCTTAGTATGTAATGACTACTTTATTTATAATCTATGCAATGTATTTAAATGAATCTAGCAACAAGAATGAATTTATAAGACTAATCTAGAATGAGAAAATGAATAAAGAATTATAAAGCCTCCTAATGAATCTTCCAAATCCTATGCTTTTATTTGACTAAGAGAATAATCAAGTAGTATTAGGTAATATAGAGTTAAACAAGCTTCTATCAATCAATGATGAGTAAGACAAATAGTTAATAAACTTGAGATTGACGTCATAGATTTTCCAGCCATATAACAATTACATTGAAGGTCTAGGAGATAGTGACAGACCATCTGATTAGTGCTTGAATATCGAATGACTAAATATCCATGAAGCACTTTCTAGAAATGATGAGAATGAATTCTTTGAAATAAAAACAAACTATAACTTTTTAGGCAACTATTATCATCATTCACTAGAAAGAGAAAAATAATACTCTGAGATTTTTACACTTAAATAGCAGGAACTATTTTTCTAGAATAAACAACTAAAACTAATACTGTTTAATAGAATCACACCTTTCATAAAATATGAGAAGTTAAAAATGGAGAATGATTTCTACGAAATGATCACTGCAACAGTATCACATGATATGAGAACTCCTATAAATGCAATCATGGGACTCATTTAAAGCCTTGACTAATTTGTTACTTAAAATATTGGTAAAAGGCTTCTAGGAATAGTTAATAACTCATCTAAAATCTTGCTTTTCTTAGTCAATGACATCCTAGATTTCTTTTAGCTAAAAAATGGAAAATTCAAAATAAAATTAGAAAAGATTGAAATTAGAAAGCCTGTTCTAGAGTTAATAGATATGTTTCTATTAGTAGCAAAAGAGAAGAGTATTGAACTAAAGTATGAATTTGACGAAAATTTACCAAAGCTTCTAATTGTTGATTAACAAAGAATTAAGTAGATTCTTATCAATCTAATTAGCAATTCATTGAAGTTTACAATGCAAGGATAAATTAAAATATTTGCAAGATATGATCAATCTTAAAAATTAATCTGGATAACAGTAAGAGATACAGGAGTAGGGGTTAAAGTGGAAGATGAAATTAAGTTGTTTAAGCTTTTTGGTAAACTTGACTCATCCTAAGCATTGAACACGAAGGGAATAGGGCTCGGACTAAATATTTGTTCTAAGGTTGTAGAAGCTTGTGGTGGAAATATTCATCTGGATACTGAATATAAAAATGGTGCTTCTTTTGAATTTAGTATTTTAGCTTACGAAAATGAGGATTAATTACCAAACAGGTCGCTATTGCAATAAGTTTTAAATGATTAAATAGCTAAATAAAAATCATTGTTAGACGAAAACCTTCATTCTGAAAAGTTTAGCTCATACTTGATGACTATAAATGATTTTACAGATGCTAAAATTGAATTTGATCAATATTTAAGATCTAATGACTCTTCGAAATAACAATTAAATGAGTCCCTATAAAATGAATAGAATTGTCCTTGCTTCAATAGACCAGACATTTTGATAGTTGATGATAATGTTTTCAATATTATTACACTAGAGTCTATACTAGAATTGCAATTTAATAAAAAAGTATCAAAGGCTACGAATGGGCTAGAGGGATTAAATAAAATTATAAAAAGATTAGAATTAGATTAATTGGAACCATGCTTTTGTGAAAGAAATAATAGAAATTTCAAGTTAGTATTTATGGATTGCAACATGCCTATAATGGATGGATTTGAAGCTACTATTGCAATTAGAAATCTTAAGGTTATTGATTAAGACTAAATAATGATAGTTGCTTTAACAGCAAATGCAAATGAGTCTTTTAGAATTAGATGTCTAGAATCAGGAATGAATGAATTTCTTACAAAGCCTGTTAGCTATGACTAATTGAGATTAACATTGAAGTAATATAATTTGTTGTGAAAAGCATAAATTCAAAATTTTTAAAATGTTAAATTAAAACTTAATTTCATAATTTGAATTGACCCAGAAATTTTACAGATTTAAATTGCGGGGTTTTGGGGTTTTGGGGTTTTGGGG